AGCCATTCTAGGGATGTCCTCTGCTGTGAGACTTGCGGAAGCATAACAACCGCCTCTCCGGTACGGTTTGTTTCAAAAACAGAAAACTGTTTAACTAAAAATTGTAATTTACCAAAGGGCCCACAAAAGATATTTAAAGAAGATTATGGCCGAACTCATCATCATTATCTAATTTTATCCAATCCATACTCATAAACAGATGAAATTAAAAGTTTAAAGGTTATTCCGCTATTCGTTATTCACTATTCAAATGGTGAACTGCATTCTGTGGCCATTTCGCTATGCATGATTCGCTATTCATAATCAAATTACCGCAAGTGTCCTAATAGTTTTTTTTTTGTCAAAAAACTTAATTGACTCAATATACCCCGGTAATACATGCTGAAGATGAGAATCAAAGATCCAACTTACAAAAAAGACACAAAAACAATAAACCTATCTGAATCAAAATGATGGTCGTACTGATATAAATAATTTTTGAAAGGTAAACCTTGGGAAATGGGCTTGCTAACATACTAAATCCAATATTTAGACCTCCATCTTGTTACAAGGGCGGGGTCTGCGAGGAACCCTTTGAAAGTCAAAAGGAATCGAGTTAACGAGACCAGTAACCCTTTTCGCTAGCCCAGTCAAAATTGTGAAATATTGTACAGTTATAAGAGTATGTAGTTCGAGGGCTTGCAAACATTCTGAATCCCATATTTAGACCTTTATCATTTTACAGGGGAGGAGTCTGGGAGGGAGGGAACCATTCACTTTCAAATGGAATTGAGTTTATAAGACTGTTAACTTATTTAGCTAGCCCGGGATTCTGGTTTTATAAATGGTATACGAATATTTTTTAAAGAACTGCAAGATCACAGTTTTTTTCTCCGAAAAAAATCGCGGGCCATGAATATTTTTTTTTTCAGTCTGAGTGTTCTTAGATATACCAACTGTAAGACCAAATGTTTCGTTGAAAAAGCTAAAAGAAATTATTATCTGAAAATTCTACACGCAATAAATATTTTTGACCCTGAACTTTTACCTTTTTAATATATTTAGGGATCGTGTCCAAACGGAGATAATCCATATTATACAGTCAATGGGATGAACTGTTCTGCAGCTGCATTGAGTCAAAGTTGGGTTTGCTATGATGCATCAATTCATGAAAACTGTTGTGAATCATGTCCTACGGTTAACACTGGAATAACAGGTACATGCATGGATAGACAAATTTCTATCAACTTAGTTGGCAATTCTCCGACCGAATATATATTGCTTTCTACTTTTCTTTTAGGATGTGAATTTGGAGATAGGAGCACCGCTTGCGATGAAGCTAATTGTCCGTTTTATGATGCAACGTCACGTGATGTAACGTGTTGTTTAACATGTAATCCACAAACCACAACTCTTTCTCCAACAACCACTCCTCTTACAACAACGACCACAACCCTACCTATAACTACCACAACTCCTACAACAACTACCACAACCCTTCCTCAAACTACAACTACTGCTTCAACAACGACTACAACCCTTCTTCCAACTACTACAACGACCACAACCCTACCTATAACTACCACAACTCCTACAACAACTACCACAACCCTTCCTCAAACTACAACTACTGCTTCAACAACGACCACAACCCTTCTTCCAACTACCACAACGACCACAACCCTACCTATAACTACCACAACTCCTACAACAACTACCACAACCCTTCCTCAAACTACAACTACTGCTTCAACAACGACCACAACCCTTCCTACAACTACTACAACTCCTACAACAACAACCACAACCCTTCCTACAACTACAACAACTACCACAACCTTTCCTACAACTACCACAACTCCTACAGCAACAACCACAACCCTTCCTCCTTCTACCACTACATCTTCAATAATGACCACAACCCTTCTTCCAACTACCACAACGACCACAACCCTTCCTCCTTCTACCACTACTCCAACAACAACGACCACAACCCTTCCTCCATCTACCACAACTCCTACAACAACAACCACGACCCTTCCTCCAACTACCACAACTCCTACAACAACAACGACCACAACCCTTCCTACAACTACAACTACTACAACAACTACCACAACCCTTCCTACAACTACAACTACTACAACAACCACAAGTCTTTCTCCAACTACTCCTACAACAACTACCATGACCCTTCCTTCAACTACTACAACAACAACCACAACCCTTCCTCCAACTACCACTACTTCAACGACTACAACTTCTACCCAAGCTACAACGACTTCAACTACTACAAAAGACCCAAACGAAGGTCTTGGAAATAATAATTCCCCAAAAATTGTTTTATCGCACAAAGCTTCCTTATTGTGCTTTCTGTTCCTTATATGCCTCTATTGAAAGTGATTTTTTTTATCCTTGTTGCTCAGACATTGTGCTAAAAAGCGTTGATTTTGTTATCTGTTTATTTTCAATAAAAACATTATTAAGTTATCTTGATTTATCCGTGTTGCTCAGACATTGTGCTAAAAAGCGTTGATATTGTTACATATATCTGTTAATTTTCAATAAAAACATTATTAAGTTATCTTGATTTATTGTTACATTGAAAAGCTACTATTTTGAATATTAAAGGATGACTGCATTTAACGCTGTGTTTTGGGGTCTTTTTCGGTCGCTTCTGTTGCTTTTAATCTTAAAACCGCTTAGTCCGAAACAGGCACATATTATCTTACACAATAAAAGTACCTGGGGGTATGTCATTACATAGATAATATATAAAAATAAATAAATTATAAGATTGATTTAATAGTTTATTACAACAATCCTTACAAGGAAAACATAGATCAAAAACCTTATTGACAAACAGAAGCTCCTGACGGGAAGTTAAGATCTGTTGTGAAGTCACCTTGGAAAAAAATAAATATATCGGTTATATCTAATAATGAAGATAATTCAAACCCGAGTATTTTTTCCATTAGTAGAAGCCAAAGTCATAATACATCTTTTAAAAATTAAGAAATTAATTGAATATAATTCATAGTTATTTTTATATTAATATTCATATTTAAAGAATAAAGGAAAATCAGATGTTTTTAAAGATTTTTTTAAAGAAAGTTTAGTAACGAAGGCTAAAATATTGTCCATGTACAGGTATAAGTATTTTATTGTGGAAAAAAAATGCACGGGTTTGTTCTTCATGAGATATAAGCGATAAATTTATTTTTTCGAAGGTGATTCACGCGATATCAACATAGAAACGTGTATACAATAAAATATGTTCATGAATTTTGATATCTTTTAAAAGAAAAAGACTTTGGGGATATAATTTGACAAAAGTTGAAACAATTTATGGACAATTATTTTTCAAGAAGAAAAACGAATGTATTTTTTCGCGATTAGAATCGGACTAAGCGGCTTTAACCTAGGTTCACTTTTATATACGTATTTACTACAGTTGTCTGTCAATTAGACACAAAATTCAAGTATTGCAAGTAACTATAGACTGTAATGCAATAACTAATATTATATTTTTGTCCTTACGGTTTTCCAAATACAGAGATTTGCACTTACCAGCCCTTGATCGAACATTATGTATGTATGAGAGGCGGAGGTAACATATTGTAGACTGGATGAATAACAATGACATGTACTAGTATTTAAAAATACGAGATTTCTATTTTTCATCTATCTTTATTCTTTACGGCACAATTAAGTACATTATTTACAAAGGTTTAAAACGTATGAGCCCATCCATATAAGTAAAGAATATTTTAAATCGATGGCTGGATATCTAACGTCTTCGAGAACAGTGTCCTAGTAGCTAAAACATGATACATATAAGCCACGTGACGGAATGATATCACGTGGTGAATTATAATATTCAACGTGTCACAGCCATTGGTTAAATGTACAACAGAGAGCGAGTGTATGAAAAAGCATTTTTTCTCTTTTAAACCATAAGCACATGTTTGTCTACTAATATCGAAAATCAAATTTAACCTTATACCGGGTAATCCGTTGCGACTTCTTAACCATGTTAACATCATAGGGATTTTTTATATTAAATTCTAATAAAAGAATACTAGTACATGTTGTCATAAGAACACATAAGTACGAGTATTTGTCGCTACACTAAATACCACTACCTGATGAAGAATACAATTTTTTCTCTATTTGTGCTTTACTTACAGAAATATCCGGTATTAAGGTAGAGACCGATAGTAATCACGTGATAGAAAGAATTCGCATATTTGCACGTGCTTTTTTTCCGGATTCCGCAACGCCGTCAAATAAAAGTCCTCATTTACACATTATTGTCTATGCTACAAGATGGCCGACGAAGCGATCGAGAAATTTCCTCGATTCAAAAGACAAAGTTATCATACATATTAAATCTTTACGGCTCTTGAAATTGAAGCATCTTCACAGGAATCAAAATAGAAGTGAGACTGAAACCGACCATGAACATAATTATGGTGAAACTACTCCTTGTCCGGTGTCCACTGCAGCTCCACGTGGGTACACCGGAATCTGTGCCTGGTGTTGTTTTCATATAGACATTAAAGACCATGACCGGCTTGCAGATGTTAATTGGTGTGACGGAAGAAGTAAAATTTTCGCAGAACAGATTTTTTGTTTGCTGTATCCATGTCAGATACATAAGGTGAATATTTACGACTTAGTATATCGATCATGACTAAAGTGCTTGATTGTTTACGCACAGGTCTGGTACAACCAATATATTTAGCTCCAATTACCAATGACCTACATAGATTTTTTTACCTTCCTAAAGTTGTTTTATTTAGCTAAAAATTAAAACTTATTATATGACCAGACTCTAACTTTTAGAATAGAAGAACAAAACCAGACATTTCTGGTGTCAGAACATGATGAAGGCCGGATTCAAAATGGGTACAAGTCAAAACGGCACCTGGTGAAAACGGCACTTAGGAAATATGCAAAACGGCACTTGAGAGTAGTCAAAACGGCACTTTAGAAAAGTCAGAACGGCACTTTCTTTATTTTGAGAATTTGATATTGTTTATACAGAAAATGGATCTTTATGTTACATTTATAGTAATAAATGTGTATGTTATTATTGATAAAAAGTTTAAAAGATATTTTAGGAAAAAAATTAAACTGATTCATTTGAAAATTATTATACTTTTGTACAGGGGTTAGATTTTTAAAATGTATTTATATTTTAAATCATATATATATTTATTTACTACAAAAGAGATCAAATCCCAATTATATTATTATGATCCTTTGAAATTAAAAAAATTATAGTGTTGCAAATATGTATACTACTCTGTTTTGGGGGTTGCCAGTCACAGTTGACTAATTAGAAGCCAGTTAGAGTATGTTTACTAAGAATACACTTGTAGGTTTAGGAAACAAAAGACCATTTCACACCTCCCCTTCAATAATCTGTTGATCGTCAATTTGCAATCATATACAGCTACTATTGTGTATTTCTCGACAAAATGTCAAATGGATTGTACACAAGTTAGAAAAACTTAGATAATCCTCTCGCAACTGTACATAAAATATGAGTAGCCATACAACATTTAATAATATAATAAACATGTACATACAAGAACAAAACATTTGTTTTTTTATAATGAAGATATACAATGTTGATATTGTTAAAATAATTTCTACAGAATTAGATAGAAATGTGAGATAAAGTGACTCTTACTGTAAATATTTTTTTTTAAAATCATTTACACCATTTCTTTTTTCATATTATCAACACTACACTACAAATATAATTATTCTAAATCCCACATATTGTTGTGTTATAGCTTAAAAATACTACCTTTAAAAATAGATTGAAAATAAAGCAAAATTGAAGCCACAAAAAATTCTAAAGTCAATAAATTAAATTTTGACTTAAAAAGAACTTATGTGAAATATATATCATAACACTATTATATACTTTTTTTCTCTAAGTGCCGTTTTAACCAAGTGCCGTTTTCACTAAGTGCCGTTTTAACCAAGTGCCGTTTTGCATATTCCAGGTGCCGTTTTTACCAGGTGCCATTTTCACTAGGTGCCGTTCTAACCATAATTCGGTAAAATTAGCAAAAATGTAAAGTAATCATACTTATCTGTGCCTAACGCACGAGGTGGTGTTTAGTTACTCAGATCAAAAAATGGAAAAACATTTTGCTTAAATTGTTCAAATGCAGAAATATGTAAACCTTCTCTGCTTTGGATGACAGGTTATAACCCCTTTTATAAATGATAGTGGACATATGTACTTGCGAATCTTTTGTCTTTTTGAAATAAAAGCAAACTGTAAAAAGTTGCATTGAAAAAAAAAGAAACAACTTTATGATCAAGTGCCAAAATAAAAAAAAAAATAGGGTCAGTCGGGTAGCAGAAAACAAGACTCTGACTGTTTTTAAGCCTTATGTAATATTTATGTACATGTATTGTTATAAATTTATGTACAGGTATGTATTTGTTGTAAACTCAAAAGGGCCTTGATTATAAACAGATATCATATTCATAGATTATAAAAGAAATATTTAATGCTACAGGTGAAGCAAGCTATGGACTAGACAGTGTATTCAGCTTTCTCTGCTGAAATAATGTGACCAAATCAAGTGTCACCTGGAAAGAGGAATGTCAAGGGTGCTTAACATTAACTCCAAGATAGCCATTGGTTTGTATTTTTTCCTTTCAATTTACACTTGCACATGTATCAGGGAAAATACAGAAATTTTTTCCAAGGGGGTGGTAAAAAGGAGCGGTTTTATAATGCATGTATTATAAATTTAAATTTATAATTATAATGATTTTTAATCCTTGTATTTTTTATTTACACACCATAATGTACATACAGTATTATTGTATACATGTAGAAGCATTTTCTCGAGTCAATAATTTCTAAAAGATCATATTAATATTTCAGGAAAGTTCAAGCCAAATCTGCTACAGCAAACACAAACATAAAGTGGCATACTTGTGTGACAGGAAACGAGGAATATGTATGTCTGGACTGAGAATCTAATGGAAGATCCCTGTATCACTAGTTAGGTGCTCTATTGACTTAAATACATGTATGGTTAAATGCTTCTGTATAAACATATAAATAGACATATTGTAAACTGAATTCAAAACTGAATAACCAAAACAATTGTAAAATGTAAATATGTTTTCTACTTGAATGAAATTGTTTCAAACGAAGCACCAAAGAATTGATATGATAATGTGAAGAAGTCAGTATTGTTAAAAAACTTATAAGTGACATGGTTTTTTAACAATACTGACTTCTTCACGTTATCATAGCTAAATTTGCAAATTAAATCAAAATTATTAATAAATTATACACAAAAATTTTAAATAGATCAAGCTATCTACTTTATTTTTATTTTATTTTAATCATGTTACAGATCCCACGGAAATATAGGATCCTTTACTAATCAAGTGTCATCTGCAGTGTTACAAAAGAATATTGGATTTATATCGATAAGGTAATTAGGGACAAAACTGAATTTAAAAAATGGAATTTGATGTAAAAAGAAAAGTATTTTAATTCCACATATAATAGTTATGTTGTTAAAGTTGAATATGAATTGGTGTGTCACTGACAGGTACATGTAGTTTTTTATTTCCACAAAAACTTTATCCTTTGGTATTAACTCTTTAACAGTTATTGCTGAGTTTATTTCTTTTTCTTTAACCCCATGATCTTGGCCTTAGAGTGTGGCCTACATTTAGAAACTAAAATATTTTATTTTTATCCTTATATACCAAGTTTGTTTAATTAAGACAAATCATTAATCCAGATAATTTCCTTGGAAGCAAAAGTGCCCAGATTAATGAGGCCAACTTTATATGCATTTATTAAAAAAATTCATGACATTATATAAAAAGGTATCTCAGAAGTGTCTCTTATATTCATATAGACATAGTCATACTATATTTGCAGTGTAAGAAAGAAGTAAAACATATGTATTTTCATTCTTTATTGTATTAAAATAATTTGTTCTTTTCAGAAAAAAGAACTACCAGAAGGAGACAGTAAAGAGGAACAGACATATCACACCATAAGACATGCTTCAATATCTGAATATACAGAATGAATTTTGCTCACTGCAGATCCTTGTGAAAGAACACCTTTGTTGTATTGACATAAAAACAAAGGAATTGTCAGGATTCTTGAACATGACGCAACTGGCTCCAAACGATGGCAATTAAAAATGCATACATGTTTACATTGATCTTTGTTAGCCAATAAGACAAAAAGCAAAATAGCAAGTTTATCCTATTATCATACATGTACTGAATGTATTCTCTTTATTTTGTTGAACTACATCAAGAGTTTAAAAATTGTACACTATCAGATACAGTTTATGGTGGGATTTCTCTAACTTTTATGAATCTGTTTGCAAAATCTATACTTTAAAGTTACAAATTATTACCTCTGATACATTGTATGTTTTCTTTGTAAATTATTACAGTATTTTTGTATGTATGAAATGATAACCGAATCACTCTCCATTTGCCCACACTTTTTACCATGTGATGCTTCAGTGTATTGATATCTAACAACTGATGACCAGGCAGTCTTCATTTAACAGTGTAATACATAAAACAGTTTTATCTTAATATTTTTAAAACAAGCATAACATGCCATGAATTGATTCTGCATACAAAACTTCATAATCACTGGGTTTTCTTATTCATGTTGTACATGTATTTGGAATAAAAAAGGAATTGTTAAAAGAAAAGTGAATTTAATTCTATTGTTGTCAATGGTAGATAATAAGACCAGTTTATTTATTACAGAATTGGTCAAAAGATATTGTCATTGATAATTCATCCAAAAATTATATGTATAATAAATCTACAAAGTCAATTTGAACGATATAAAAGAAAGTTCTTATCTTTTTTAATGTAAATGCAAAAAGGTCAACCAGGTCACCATGTGTCCAGGTGTACATGTATAAATTGTTTTCTGTGGTATAGAATGTAATTTAGAAGAATATTACAAAGAATTTACCTATTTTCTTTGAAATAGTTTGATTAATTCTATCTATCAAAGTCAAATTGAACGATATAAGGGAAAGTTCTTATCTTTTTCAATGTAAGTGCAAAAAGGTCAACCAGGGCAACATGTGTCTAGGTGTACATGTATAAATTGTTTTTGTGATATAAAATGTAATTTAGAAGAATATTACAAAGAATTTACTCATTTCCTGTGAAATATTTTGATAAATTCTTGATAATCTCTCTTAGTCACCATATTCTTCAAAAGTGCATCCTTCTAAAGGAAGGGGGTAGGGTAGGGTGTAAGATAATAAACTTGTTCCAGGATTAATTTAAACCCCATTATGTAGTATGATTTTTTTCTGAAATTTAAGACACGTATAGACTAACAATAATATGCAATAAAAAAAGAAATTTGATGGGTAATTTTTTCACAGTGGAAGCAGAAGTGGGAGACTTTGTGCAATGAATAGGCAATATTTTAACCTAATTTGACCATGCATCTTGGTAAATGTAATTCTCTTTTTCGCTTACAATGCTTGATAAATTTAAGATTGATATCAAATATTAATCCATATAGACAGATGTTTGAATTCATATAAGACAGATGATAATTGATATAGCAATAAAAAATTTACAGCCCTTTTCATATCATATTCTTATTTTATTTTACCCTGCTTTTTCAGCTCTTCGGTGGTTGATGAAGGCTATATTAAAATTGTCGAATTTCTCTTAAACTAGCCCGATGACCTACCTTGAATTTTTGATATGATTTAGAACAAGGACTAAACACAAACATATAAAAAATTCAGAAAAATTCAATGGGTAGTTTTTTTGTTGACAACCTATCAATCTCTACCTTAAATTGAGAAGAAAATGCACAGGTGAGCATGTGCCAAAAGGCTTTTTGTGTTAGTACAATGTAATTCAATAATATTTTTTTAAACTTACAAGCCTGTTTAAAGTACTTTGATAAAGATGGGGGGGGTCTGTGTGTAGTTTCTATTTTTCCCTGGGTCGATTCCTTATCTTAGGAAAGTTTTATTATTACCACAAGACGACATCAAATCATCATCAATCAATCACAAAAAGATGATTAGCTTAATGCGTAAAATGAGAAAGGAGCTCTGGGAATCAGTCTTTTTGTATAAAAACGTCATTTTCGACCCCCCCCCCCCTTTAACCCACAGGGTGTAGATGAACATTCTGGAATCTTATTGCAGATCTACAGGATACTCCAGCTTGCTAGAGGTTCACGGCGAGATACTTTTGACTTGGCGCCGATTTAAGGAGCGTACGGACGTTAACCGAGGCTCTTACTTGTATGAGAAATCTACAGGACACCACCGATCATTTGTCAAAGGATGAATAGGCCTATATGTTATTTATCCTAAAAATCAATAGGTATTCTTTTACATACATAATGAGTTGTTGTATAAAATTCCATTTCAAAAGTTTAAGACTTTTCAAGATGTCATCTCCAACATCGTTGAGAAGGGATAACAATTTTAAGTAACTTAAATCTTTGTGATGTGATTTAAGAAATGTCAACGTTTATTCTCAAAACTTTTGCTTACATTCATTAAGGTTGGATCTCAGTTGTGAATAAAACAGTCATGACATAATAAAAATCAAGTGTCGCCAATAACAGTAACGATACTAGTAGACGTCATTATAGTAAATTCCTTGGCTACTTTTGAAAAGGTGAAGATTTATACATACGATGTAAAGATTGCACATTTTCATTTGAGAAGCGTGTTTTACCACAAAGACATGTTGTATGTTCATGTAAAATTTAATGTTTCATGTTCCGTACCCTAATCATCTGTAGAAGGGTAAAACATACGCTCAACAGGGACCCTTATAATGAATAAGAGAATGAACACCACTAATTAATCAACTCGTTTGTATGTAATAATAAAGGATTAAATACTAGCAGATAAAAACAATGAAATGAGTACCTTTTCTGGTATCATTTTTACATTTCAATTAATTTTTACATGTACCTAGAGTAATATTTCCCACTTTCTGTTCCGTTCCGCGTTTAGCATTAACCCATGAAATTATTTCTAATTGATTTAAAAAAAAAAAAGAATTGAAACATAATTCGAATAAATTCTTTAAACATGATTACTCATGATATATATTTTAAAAGAAATATGCATACGGCTATCAAATCATCAATATATCTGGTACATCATTCTGACTAACTTGGAAAGGTTTATCTCCCCATAGCGGAGCTCTTCTGTATTGAAAATCAGGTATAGCCATCTGCCTGGCAACGAGACGCAATCGGCTTAATCGTATTTTATCGATTTCTTTTCCGTAGGACATTTTATCAGTGCAACATCAAAAAGATCAGGTATGATTGAGATTAATAGCTATTGTTTATTTTCATATCATTTTCTATTCATCTAATTGTCGGTTAAAACTCTGCAAAAATAGATCGATTCACGCCAAATGTGAAATTTAATTTTCAGCCAGTGTCCCAAAACACTTTCTCCTCAACACTATGGCTTGCTCTGGAATTGCTGAACATAACGAAGCCAGGAGAAGAGCGGGACGGGCCGAATTGCTGGCTTTTAGGAAAAAGCAATTGCTGGTAATGTATCAGAAAAAAGTGGGATTATTTATCATTTTTTCATAGATTACAATTTTAAAAGTACACCGTAGTTCTAAACAAATGGACACACAATACATTTTTTTATGCAGTGTTTTAACCTATGTAAAATGAATATGGCTTAATTTACAACTGAAAGTTATCAATATATATGATAAGAAATAATTATGTGCTTACATTTACTGTACATATTAATTTTTTTTCGAAATAATTATGAAACAGATTAGGCATTTTAATCCAATTGTTTTATTGTATGTATTAATGATTACTACCTATTGGGTTCATACCTTAAGAGAGTGCATTAAAACTCGCCAGAAAAAATTGGGTCACCCAGTAATTGTGTCTGACCTAATAACTAGTGTCTGCTTTGTCAACCAAAAATGTCATTTAATCGACTGTTTAATAGATTCATTGTAATGTTAGACTTTTTTGTGATAACCCTGCTGGACTAATATTTTTTGTATGTTCTTAAATGATATTAACCGTAAAGTGGTACATGTATATTTGTAAAGTAAAAAACAACAACATCTATTTCAGGCAAAGACGGGAGTTGGTAAGACAGCAACAATTAGTGGAATATTCGGCAAAGCTTCCCAATCGGTTCAGTGTAAGTAAAAGCTCATATATTCTGGAATTATTGTGTGTCGTTCAGAACAGACAGGAGGGTTCCATTTTATGCACAATTTGAGTTTTATATACAAATTGATTATTGATGTGTATCACACTCCTCTAAAAATGGAGATAAACTGCTTGTTTGAGTTTCATCTACAGATAGTTCTTTTTAAAGATGAGTCAAGTTTTAAAATGGATTTACTTGGGCCTTTGAAGTTTTAAATTTTATTACATTTTTCCATTTCAGTCTAGAGATTATGTCAGTCAATGGTGAGGAGTGGAGGGCTTTAACAAATAATTCATTCAAACTGGATTTACCTGGCACAGGAAAATTTAAATATACCATTGATTTTGGAACACCTTTTAAAATTTATTGTCAATTAAAACCAATAATGATTTGACAAGAAAATGGCCATTGTTCAAAAAATCTTTTGTTTGATTTTATCTATTTTTGATTTTCTGTCACAATTTTCAAACATTTGAAAACTAAATGAGATCTTTTTTTCATCCCCACTATTGATTGTTGGTGCTTTTTTTGATCAAGATGGATATAGAAATTTAATGCTTCAACAAATGAATACTTTTATTAAAAAGAGAGTGTACGAGTCATATGAACTTTTCTCTGATTATTTAAACCTCACATATTTAGTCAGGCTAAGAAATAATTTAGAATGTCATACAATATGAATGATGTACATGATTTTTTTTCTCCTTTGAATTTCTACTGTTCAATATATTTTTAAAATCTATGATTTGTAAGTGCAAAGAAACTGAGACACATATTATTGGTTTTTGTTATTATCAGTCATAATGTTAGTTTATTTTTTACTGTAGAACTTACTAGAAGGTGGTGTGTTTTCTGTACTTTCTGAACTGCATGCTAAGAGAATCCTCAATATTTGTGCAGTAGGCACATGAATTTTATTTTTGGTTTTACATCAATGTGATATTGCCATGACAACAGTATTATAATGTTTTACACAAAACACTTTGTTATCATATGTATATTTTTACACAATTATTTATTTCGTTTACTTTCTATACAGTTATTAATCATCGTCACTATCTATATGTGCTTTGTGTTCGTGTGAGCTTTCATGTAAACAAAGTTTAATCACAATTGTTATATGGTTATGAAAGTTTTTAGTGTTTAAAGTTGATCACAATGAATTTCTCTTTATATAAGCTATATAAGATTTTTGAGAAAGCTGTGCATGCTATACTGTTTTCTTGCATTACAGAAAATTGTTTGTTTCACAATCTAATGTCAATAAATAATTTTGAAACAGTATTAAACTGTACGTCATTTAGATGTTTACATGTAACATTGAGAGAATATCAAATCAAAGGTTACCCTTATTTATCTAATCCAACTTATGCATAAAATAGGTAGTAAAAATTGCTAACATACTCAATTGAGTACATGATAATTTTTTTAATATGAATTAAGAGTTGTCTCCTTTAAACTGTGTTTCCAGTTTTGATTAATACTCCACAGGTGTAGATATTAAATAAAAACACACCTCTCAGAGATAACAAAGTAGAAGTAACAAAACAAAAGACAAATTTGGTATTTAATGTTAAAATCTTGGATCCACTCCACACACATTTTTTAAAACTGTTATAAGATCATTGTGATAACTTGAATATGGAGGAAAATTGAATTATCCCCAGGAAGGACTCTGAAATGATAAATCACCTACGCATATTTCTGAAAATTGTATACAGTCAGGAAGCAATTTCAGTTGAGGGGGGGGTGTCTACCATATACATGTATTTTCAGTTGGGGGCACTCTCTCAGCTTCCAAAGATTCATTGACAAGTAAAAAAAAAATGGTCGTGTTTTTATTGTTCCATTGAGGGGACGCTGGCATATGCCCGGTACATGTAGTAGCTATGGTTTCTACAGTATGGTATATATTGGCAAAATTATTAGGGGGAGGGGTGCCACCCCCACCCCCCGTTCCTACAGCCATGGTATATATTGAATTTATTCCAATGACCTTTTTTTGTTTATAACTAATTGACTAAAATAATTATATTATAATCTATAAATAGAATTTTTAAAAAACCAAACGTTTCTGGCAATTATGAGGAAAAAAACTGATCAATTTAAAAACAGCACAGAAAACAAGTCAATTTTTTTGTAACCAGGAATTGAACAAACATTAATTTTATTATATAGATACAGAATTTTGGTTTTGAAACAGGTATTGATGCATGTTAAATACATTAACTTCAATAATTTTACATCTTTCTTTAGCATGAGAGATTTTAAAATTATCCATTCAGAGTATAGGAAAAGTAATCAGTTTAAAATAAAAAGTTAAAAGCCAATTTACATGGTTTTATTTCAAGTAACTGTATTAAAAATTTAACTGACCAGACTGACCAATATATCAGGCTCCTGTGGTCAAAAAGTAGCAAATCCATATCTAACATACATGTTTGTGAAGTATCTTCGTTACAATAAATATTCATACAATGAATAAAATGTAATAAAAACACGAAGAAAAAAAACAATACAAAAGGTGAAGCAGAAATGTAACATCAACTGACACATATATGAAATGGATTTCCTAAGTAATCATTTATTAAGTAAAAATATTGTTTTAAGAATGGACAAAGAGAGCAAAGTGACCATTCCCACTCCTGTACCACTACAAGAGGCTAAAGGACCTTAACAGTCACCTGTGTATAATACAATCCTGTAGATCCATAACTTTTTGTATTGATTGATTATACTTGTAGATCTATATTGTTTTCCATCTTATTTAAGAATTTGAGATTTTTGAAGAGTTAAATTCAATACATTTTCACTATCTAATCAAAAGAGCTTCCTAACATTCCCTGACCACGGTGAGTTTTAAAATTTTGGAAAAGGCACCCTGAAATTGCTAACAATGCACAAGGGCTCAGTGCTTTTTATAACAATGTCTAAACAGTTTGACTGCTTGATGTCTAGGCCTAATGATGGGATTTTAGACTGCATTAATTTTGGTGATTTTTGCCTTGTCCACAGGCCATGGAGGTACAGGGACCATGAAATTTTTAATATGTACTCCTCGCCTATTCCCATAGATGTTACCAAGATTGGTTAAAATTAATTAGGCAATTCAAGTTTAATGCACAACAACGGACAAAAAATTACGTGATGGTATTTGATTGGGAAAAATGGATAAAAAATAGATTTTTACATTCGTCACTTTATTTATTTTTTTTTTTCATTTTAAAAGATGGCAGTCGTTCCTCGTAGTACGACTATTACAACTTCCTCGTGGAAGTAACTAGAATATCACAAGTTTAGAACACTTACACAATGATTTGAAATTTTTTCTTTTTAAATTACTCCCATTGGTGCTTGAGTCAGTGACGTAGGAATGGTAGGATCGCTTTTGAAAGGGGGGAGCATCTATTGAAAAACTTGACAAGCAAAAAAAAAAAAAAATAAAAAAAAAAAAAAAAGCGGCGTAAATCGAAGGTTTTTAAAACGCTTGGATCTGTAGCTCTCTGCTTTATCTGTCCGAATTTTCTCAAGCAGAGAGCTACAGTTCTGAAACTAACTTTTTAAATATCCGTGTAGTTATGGTAGAATTTACTACCAAACAATCATGCTGTTTGTCGGTAGCCATTATTTCGCACATTCTGGGTACCTCCTTTAGAGTTCCTTTCTGACTTTGCAAATTCTTTTGAAAAATGTCAGAACTTTACTGAGTAATGCGATGCATCATATCCCCATGTAATTTGAGTTTTATATTAAGAGAAGGTGAATCATTTAGTCTTTTGGTAGCAGGATTGGTTAGGAGGAACGGATGCCTACAGAGAGAGAGAGAGAGAGAGAGGGAGAGAGAGAGGCGTTTCTATTTCAATCACAATGACTTCAAATTCACAAATTACTTTTAAAAACTGAAGCTGTGGTTCTCAATTGCAACCAATCACCACGCAGCTTTTGTTGCTGCTGGTGACGTCACTTCCACTCGTGGGATATTGTCTATACTTCTGGGTCTTTTCAAAATGGTATCCCCGCCTGGTAGGCCACTGGAGAGTGCTGGTGTTGACACACACCTCGCAACTATGGCGAATGGATTGCTTTCCTGTGTCAAATGATTGCTATAGCTAGGGTTAGTGTTATTATTCGAAGACCCGTGAATCATTCTTTTGATTTTTTTTCGAAATGACTTGGACTTTTGTCGAGTTGGACCTGTGTATTCTTTTACTTTATCGTCTGTAGCAGTTAAATCTGGGACACTGCTTGACCTAGAATACACTTTTTTACTGGACCTGTTGAATAAGAATCTTTTGGTCTTAGTAAACTTCGCTATTTCGTCTGCACATTCATGTCTGCCCGTAAACCGAGCCCATTCCTCTGCACAAAGCTGCCTCCCGTGGTCTCTTAGTTTTGGATTAGCCCCTAAATGAAAAGAATTCTATTTTTATTTAATGCCATTATATGAAAATCAATTCCAATATTAATATTTATAAATGTAATTTTATTTGATTTATCAAAAAAGTACATGTGTAAAAGTTTTTTTGTTCTTTGAGTTCACTGGTTATTTTAAATTTTTGAATCCAATCGGGCTTTTCCAAAAAGCAGAAAACAGAGTGTTTTTCCGAGCTTACTGGTGTTGTAGAGCGAAACTTCCCTCATAGAAATGCTTCCTTCGAAACTTTTACTTTAGAGTATTAGACCTTCCCACCTTCCCACATAGAGTGAAGTCTTATTCTAGGGCCATGCTTGCCCTCTATTGCCATGTTTTCCCTCTAGAGCCATACTCCCGATAAAAAGTATTACAAGAGAGTAAGTTTATCCAAGGGCAAATCCCCACTTTAGATCCTACCTCCTCCCGTAAGATTTGCTGGGGTAATTCTATTTCCTTGCGGAAGGTCCACTCTACTACTTATCTTGATTGTAAGTGGGGCAGGGATCACTCATAGTTCTAGTCCAGAACTATGAGTGATTCCTGCCCCACCTACAATCAAGATAAATTCATTTAAAATTTGAAAACTTATTGGAAAGGAAAAAGAGGACATCAATTTTAAAGTACTATATGTAATACCGAGTATACTAATATTTTATTATTTTTATACAAAAGGAGTTTCTTGACTTTGTTCATAGCTACATGTATACATATTAACAAACATGTACATGTACAAGTAGATATACCTAATTAAGCCAATACGTAATAATGATATAAGATTTCATTGCAATAGACAGAATACATGTAATAGATAGTTGAACGGACGGGAGCAATCACCGCACGGCTGTATAGGTTAGGTAACTATAATCTCTAGACAGTGATTCTTAGTACTACTAGTCAACTAATATAGCAAGTCTACCTGCAAGATTGGAAGTAAGGCTCTGAGAGAAATTTTCCCGAGGTTCCTCCAGCCATGGAGTCAGAATTCCCGCAGGGAAAGTCTCACTCTGGAGTCAGAATTCCCGCAGGGAAAGTCTCACTCTGGAGTCAGAATTCCCGCAGGGAAAGTCTCACTCTGGAGTCAGAATTCCCGCTGGGAAAGTCTCACTCTGGAGTCAGAATTCCCCCGGGGAGAGTCTCACTCTGGAGTCAGAATTCCCCCGGGGAGAGTCTCACTCTGGAGTCAGAATTCCCCCAGGGAAAGTCTCACTCTGGAGTCAGACTTCTGAGGGAACACTCTCTCTACAACACCGGAAAAGGCACTAGAAGATGCGATTGATTTGATTTAATAACATACTTTCATTATTTACCGCGTTTACCCCCCTATGTAAGTAAGTACAGTATTACGTTTTTGATGAATTCAGTTTGAACCACATCTCTGCTTCTTATGGTTTATGTACGAGTTTATCTCCTATTTGATTAATTAAAAAGAATTATGTTTTGTGATTTCTTATCAATGTCTTCTTTGAATATGAAATCGATTGGTTATATTTTCAATTTGTGTGATTTTCATTTTCCAAAAATATCTTTCAATCCAACTTTAAACCAATTTGATTTGAAAAAAGAAAACAGCTCACGATCTTGCAAATACGACGTAACAACTCAAACAACAATAGTCTCTTTAGACATTGTACCTGCATAAAGAAGCAACTTAGCACAGGATGTCCTTCCCTGTAGTGCTGCCTTCATCAGTGCCGTGAAGCCCGCTTTATTCTTATGGTCCACTCTTATTTTCCTGAATTCATGGAGCAGTACCCTTACGATCTCTCGATAACCTACAAATGTTTGTTCCACACTGTATTTAGAAGAAACTTTATGTTGCATGTATTTAAATAATTTTCACGAGGAAAATGGAATTACACAAATATACCTTCAGTTTTTTTATTTTGAAAATTTGCAGTCTATACTTAAACGACAGTCAGTTTTACCAGTAATACCTGCTTGTGCAGCGAAAATAAGCGGCGAATTTCCCTCCTTATCACTTAAATTCACATCCACCTCCGGAACCTCGGAAAGGAGCTGCACAATAGGTAGCATTCCGGATGCACATGCGTGGCAGAGAGCCGTCTGCAATATGAACATATACCAATGAAAATAAAAAATGATATTTGTACATTTATCTATAGGTATAGTAATTTACATCGAAAGTTGAAGAATTGTTTTTGTGCCCTCTCCCAGAGTTTTTTGTCTGGAATGGTTAAACATCTAGAAAGTAAGGGTATTTGCATGACCTTTTTGCTGGACTTCTTTGCTACAAAGCTGTTAAAGAAACAACTTCTCAACTTTGGTCGATGTAGTATATCCGTAATGAATATACGTATAGAATATTCATGTAGCATATAGTAAATTGTTGAATCATGTGCACGGCCACCTTTCATTTGTCTCCAAACTGGAAGATTCATTTACTCGACTGAGTGAGCACCTAACACTAAACTATTCTTTACAAAATAATGTTTTTATTGTAACTGAACTAGGCAATAATCATTTACTGGGTGGGAAAGCAAATGTAGAACTGAACTAAAGGGTCCTAAAGCTCAACTTCAAACATGTCAAAATCTCGGAATATCAATTTTCTTTTACTTAAAAACAACACTCCTATCCTCCACCCCATCCCCATCTCAAAACAAATTAAGATGGTGGAATTTTGAAAAAAAAATTACAAATTTGTTAATATAAAACAAAGTATTGCCATGATTGCATGTATGGCTTTCTACCATAGTTTCTGGCTGGAAATATAACCGAAAAGTCACCTGAAATGTATGGTGGTCGATGATGACTAATTAATTTCTAGTTGTATTGTCAATGGAAGCCCACTCTCAGTGTCAGAGTAACAATGTATGGTAGCTGTAATTACTATACTGTTGTACATATCTTATTATACTAATTATCTGTGGGCTCATCTTAAAGTGAGGTAATATTGGAATCTTACGTTGACGATATCTGTAATGCACAAATTCCTAATATACTGATCCTTTCGACAAATTACTTCCATAAAATGTTTCTTCTGAAATGACGCTGTACAATAAAATGAATGGCAATATAAAGATGTTCACAGCCATTATGGCTTATTATGGCCCGGAACACTTATAAAAATCATTAGTATCTACATTAGCAAGAATTGATTTGATAAAGTGGTACGCTGATCACCTTTAATTTCGACAGTGTGTTTCCAGTTACTAGTATTGCTACGAAGACGACTTTTCCCCTCAAAGTTTTGTTTTCTCAGTTGTTGTTCAGAAAACACACCAAATTACCTGGCAACTCACATTTATTATTAACTTTTTTAAAAAAAATAACGTACCTTACCACTTTTATCTCTTTCGTTTAGTTCTTCATCTGTCGGGCTATCGTCGAGTATGTTTTGGACTGCTTCAAAATCATACTCCAGACATGCCTCCAAAAGTGTGTATTCATCGTAGAATTCGTCCGAAAACATTATTATGACATCGTCTTCTCGGTGTTTATCTTCCTCCATGAATCATGAAACATTAACCTGAAACTGAGGAAAAAAATTGCAATCAATGTGTGATGTCTGAGGACAGTTACAATTCTAAAAAAAAAAAAAAAAAAAAACATCATGATCATATGAAACGGAAGTGATAACTTCTCGTGATTTTTATCTCAAATAACATTTTAGTAACATTTAAATTATCTATGAATCTCCGAAATAACATTTATGAGGGAATATATGACGGAACAATAATCCATCATAAGTCTAAAAAGATAAATTCTATGAGAGATACGTACGATATTTTGAATATTATCATTACGTGAGCACAAATAAAAAATAACCAATTAGCCGCATGAGACCCTGGTTGAAAATCCCACCTCTCATCAGACAGGCAGTATCTGCTTACATATCGCTGAAAATGAGCATGCTGTGGCTTATAACATATCCAGTAAAATATAATAATAGAAAAACAAGGGTAGCCAGAGGGAGTTTTATAGATTCTTCGCCAGAGTGGAGCGAGACAGCTCGAGTTGTGTTACTAGCATGAAAGATTTTGTGTTAGAAAGAACTGGAATAATTTTACAATATATATGCTCACCTTTCAATTATGGACCTTATTCAAATAGAGTTAATGTATTGGGATTGAAATGGTCAACTATTGAAAAAAAGACATCATTTTCCAATTTTTATGTCCCTTCATACTGCTCTTTAAACAATATCGACTGACATTAAGTAAAATACCAATGTTGAATATACATTTCAATGCTTCCTTTTCACTTCTAATCAACCACATCATTTAACATTAATACCGAGGGAATATTCGATCAGTAACAAAATGAATAGAACGTTCGTTCGAAAGTTTCTTTTGTTAATAAATGTAAAATGAAATCAGTAATTAGTCACAGAGAATACCAAGGGAAGAATAAAGGAATATAACATTTTCCTGCATACTGATTGCATGAATTCATTGGAACATACTTTTGTATTTTTATTACCTACTAGTATTTGACTTTAATTTCTCAAAACTTTCTCTTGCCATTTTTTTAAATTTTGGATATATTTGTTTCTATTTATTGGGGGAGTTGTTTCCTTCCCCCGTTTTTGATAATGTCTGACACAAAAAATATATCCAACTTAAATGGCTCTGACACCGACGGTTTCAAAGGAAATCCAAAACCATAATATTTACTTCAACTAATCTCCTAAACAATCAATTTTTAAAAGCTATACCTACATATATTAGTTTTCTTCCCTAGTACTAGAATTCAGAAAAAAATCTTTAGAAAAGACTGAAATAGACCAATGCAGAGCGTAGTACTTTATTTTAAAGAATTTTTTTCCTAAAGTGCAAGGGGCTTTCACTGCAACCGTATTTTGTGCTATAGCTTCATGAAAAATTAACAATTGTGCACTGAGTTTATTTCAATAATGTGAAAGATAATGCATCATGTAGTCAACTGCAATGAATCGATTTAGGTAAGCGATGGGAAAAATTATAATACATTTGAGAATTAAGTAAAGTACAAAGTAACTTTCGTGAATTCGGTCGTTGATTATATCGTATAACTTGCATTAATTTTCAAATTACCCTACAATGGAAACCAAATTCAAAAATGAATTAATGAAACATTTTACATGTAATGTTTGTTTCACTGAAAAATGAAAATACCTTACATAATGCTCTTTGAAACTCTCTCTCTCTCTCTCTCTTACCTACAGGCATTCTGGATATAAATTCTAAAAGAGTGAATATATAAGTCATGAATTTGATAAAAGGGCCTTATTTTCACCACCATTGCCAACATGTTCTTTACATTCTAGCTTAAAACTGTGATTTCAATTATTTGCATTGCTTAAATTGTTTGTATGCTTTAAAATCTATTTAAAGCTTACCATAACAATTTGTTAGACAAAAATATCATTCACTTACATTTATTCTTAAAAATTATAAATTATCATTTATTAAATTATAACCAAGCTGCAACCCCACTGACTTAATGTAATTGATTTATATAAATGCGAGGTAACTATCATGAAATGTCCATGCATTAGTAAATTGAAGCTGACTCATTATTTATGTACTAGCAGTTCTCCATTATCACATATACTATGTATGGAAAAAAAAAAGCTTGTTAAGTTCCTTCACACGAAAAAGATCGAGGAACGAAAGGTAAATGAACGATCAAAAGAAATTGTTTCAGTAACAATTGGGGTTTTCTTCTAAGTATTACTTTCGGCGCCATATGTACTCATCAAAATTAATCATATTACAGAAGAGAATAGATTTTGAAGAATAAAGCCATCTCTGCACCTGTCAATGATACTCAGTAATCATGAAAAAAATGAATTAAAATTCCAAATTTCTGCTCTTACGTCTTGTTCTACATCCTTTACTAGTAAAAATATTTTAAAGTTTAAAAGACTTTAATTTTAACAATTTAATGTGTTTCTTGGAAAAAAAAATCCAGAAGTCTCTGTCGAGACTGAAGCTTTACTGGTTTTCACTTAAAGCAAAGTACATATGAGAAAAGTAGCAGTTTGGAATTGAAACTTGACAACAGCAATAAATAGAATAATGATCCTTGATTAAGTCTCTTTATGTTCTTAGTGTAGTCTACTTCCAGGCCACATTATATTATAATCAGACTAAAACTGTATTTGGGGTAGCATTTTGATAGTATTTTACAGAAATTTCTATCTTAAGTAACCAAGGCAATAATGTTCATCGAAATCAAAAAATGATTAATGGAATTGTATAACTTAGTGTAGTCCTACAGTTTTGTTCTGATTTCAATATGATTTTTCACAGAAGTAGAAGTAGTATTTTGAAAGAATTTCAAAGAGTGTTCTATGTTTAGTAACCAGGGCAACATCGTTCATGAAAATCAAAAACCGATAAACCGAACTGTGTAACATAGTGGACTTAGAGTACTTGTGTGCCAAGTTATATTGAAATCAGACCAAAACTCTAGGAGGAGTAGCATTTTGAATGAATGTCACAGAAATTTATATTTTTAGTATCCACGGTAACACCATTCTCCGAAATAAAAAACCGATATACAGAATTATGTATCTCAAAGTAGTCTACTTGTGTGTCAAGTTATATTGAAATCAGACCAAAACTGTAGGAGGAGTAGCATTTTGAAAGAATTTCACAGAAATTTCTATTTTTAGTAGATACGGCAACACCGTTCATCGAAATCAAAAACCGATATACAGAATTGTGTAACTTAGTGTAGTCTACTTGGGTGCCAAGTTATATTGAAATCAAATCAAAACTGAAGGAGGAGTAGCATTTTGAAACAATTTCACAGAAATTTCTATTTTTAGTAACCATGGCAACACCGTTCATCGAAATCAAAAACCGATATATAGAATTATGTATCTTAGTGTAGTCTACTTGTGTGCCAAGTTATATTGAAATCAGACCAAAACTGTAGGAGGAGTAACATTTTGAAACAATCGCATAAGCTCTTCTGGTCTCTGACCAGTAGAGCTAAATAAACCTTTTATGGATATATAGTTTTGTAATTAAATGTTTTACTTTACGAGTTAGATAGAATGGTTTTTATATTTTACAAATGAAAATATAAAAATCCTATCTAAAGAGTTCTACTTCTTTATAACTAACTCCAATGCATTAAATTTCTCTGTTTACTATTATGTTACTCAGCTTTTTCATTGTTCAGTTACCTGCTACCTTATTAAAATTCAGAATAGTACTGCGCGGTGCAGATGGTCTTTATTTCCGAGATCTCATTTTCTCCATCAAACTATTCATTGCTTTAGCTTCCTTCATGAAATATTAACATCTGTGCATTGGGTTTATTTGAAAAATGTGAAAGGATATGCATGTTCAGATTTTATGTTTCCCAAAAGGCTACGTGTACATTGAAGCAAATATGATTTTGAGGAAAGCAAGAAACAAAACTAAGAAAAATTAAAATATATAGAAAATTCTGATCCTGAAAATGATGTTATTATTACTTGAACCAAATGCAAATGCAAGAAATTTTTCTTGTATTTGTATTATTTTTTTGCATGTTGTTATCTCAGATTATACACTGTACAATATAAAATTTCGATGCCCAAGTTGTCTTATTTCAAAATTAATTTAATTCTATGAATCAGTTTATTCTTAGGACTTTACTCGAGGAGGATCATCTCGCATGAAATATATTCATATCTATCTGAAAAAAAATATTTTCTCTAAAAATTAAAATGGTATTGCTAGGTACATTGTACATGTACGTGTAAAAAAAGCTTTTTTATTAGGACCTCATTTTCCCGTCAATGTTAGGGTACTAACACTTGCAATCAGATTTTAGCTCAATTTTCCTTGAACAATTAAAAAATGGACGTTGAGTTGAGCCAATGTAAAAGAACATGCATCGTGCATCAATGAATCGATTTTGGTAAAAGATGGGGAAAACTACTCGTATATATGGTTGATCATTTAAGAATTTCAAGTGTACGTACATGTATATTGACATTCGATTCTATATACCTATACTTTGCATGATTCTTTCAAACTATCCTACCGTTAAGATATAGCACAAGTACCAAATAGTTAGTACTGTTATAGCATCTAACCCATTTTCTTTCAGTAGCAATGCATAGAGTACTTTGGAAGTATATTCCATTCCAGTCTGAAAAGTGATGAATTAAAGAATTGTTTATGCAGCAGTATTATCAGAATTTCAGAGATTCTAGCATGTCCTGTGACAGACCTTCTATACACTGATGAAGACGCTAAAGTATCGATAAAGAGAAATCTTCTTTGCCTACTCAAATTGGGAAAATACAATCAAATTAAGTTTTCAATTACACTAGCTTGTGCTGATATCATGTTTGCTGATATCATGTTTAGAATACTTAAATTAATTATTATGTAATACAATGCATATTGCAATTAATTCTATTTTATATCAAATGGTGAATCAGTCTAATTATACAAAATTACTCTAAATTAGTGTGCAGTGTAGAGAGGTTCTTTAGTGCAGAATCAAACTTCAAATTCATCTTTGGAGTTCCGTAAATTCT